GGCAGATTACATGTGAGAGATTTGGCACCCTCCATAATTCTCTAGTGCTTCTCCTTGGTACCATGCACTGCTCTGCCAGACACTGTCACCTTTCCTGCCCTTGAGGAAACACAGCTTATAAAGGATCAAGCAGTCCTGCTGCAATACTCGTCATTCAGTTGGGAACAGCACAATAGTTTGTTTTGCTTGTGTTTGGCAGGGAAAATGTTGCCATCTTCAAAGCTGTGATGGTCTGTAGCACTCAGGAGGAGACAGGGAGGAACGAGCCCCTGTGCCTTCCTGGAGCATTTTCAGCAAGCCACTGCTTTAATGTGGTGTACTGTACCACCTAGGGCCAAAATAGGAAACTACAGTGCTGTCTGAAACATTTCACTTGCAAAAGAAGCATGTATATTTGTGTGTACATTAATATATGAAAAAATAATAAAATAAAGATCTGAGTTAGGGAGAAAAGAGGGACCTTAATGATTTTAATGCATTTTAGACAGTGGAAAATTGACTTGTTTCTCAGGAAACATAATTTCAGGCAGAGTTCTATTTCTCAGGAACTTAAAAGTGGAGAAAGCCTGAAAATCTTCTTAACAGTCAGTAAAAAAGAAAAGTTTGGATTACACAGGATTGTCATGGTTTAACTCCAGCTGTGGCAACTAAGCACCACACAGCCACTTGCTCACAGCAGGATGGGGGAAAGAATCAGGAAGGTAAAAGTGAGAAAACTTGTGGGTTGAGATAAAGGCAGTTTAATGGGTAAAGCAAAAGCTGTGCACACAAGCAAAGAGATCAAGGAATTCGTTTACCACCTCCCATGTGCAGGCAGGTGTTTGTCCACCTCCAGAACAGCAAGGCTCCATGGTGTGTAATGGTGACTTGGGAAGACAAATGCTATTATTCCCGAAGTCCTCCCCTTCCTTCTTCTTCCCTCATTTCTATATGCTGAACATGATGCCATATAGTGTGGAATGTCCCTGTGGTCAGTTGAGGTCAGCTGTCCTGGCTGTGTCCCCTCCCAACTCTTGGTGCACTCCCAGCCTCCTCGCTGGTAGGATGGGGTGATGAGCAGACAAGGCCTTTACACTGTATAAGTGCAAACACATCCCTGTGTTATCAACATCATTTTCCTCACAAATCCAAAGCATGGCCTCATACTTGCTACTATGAAGAAAATTATCCCTGCTGAAATAAGGGATCCTTTTACTTTGTTACAATTTGAGAAAATTTTCTTACTAAGTGTAAATTTTTAGCTATAACTTCTCCTGCGTTAAAAATTGTTCTTTTGTTAAGTGTCTTTCCTGCTCAGCTGAGACAGTTAGATGACACTGTGTGCTCCAGTGTTTAAAAATGTCCTCAAAAAGTCATCTTCCCACACTGTTTAATTCCGAAGGCTCTAAAGCTTTGTAAAATACAAAATAGCAAATTATCTTAGGCTTATGCAGTCTCCTAAGCTCTATATACTGAGTTAAATAATCATCACCATAAGATAATTCACCATAATTAACTAATCACTCAGCTGGATTTATTAAATGATGCTGTTATTTAAAAACCTAATCGCAAAATTAATTTCTGTAAATTGTTGTGAAATCCAAAAATGGCAAAGGTCAGCAAAAGACATAGGTGGATCCCTAAGATTGTTGTTGCTTGGTGTTATTTGTGGGTGCTAGGATTTTCATTTGAAAACCTAACAATGTTAAAGATTAATACGATATAGATAATAAATGTATAAGCTTTCTCTGCCTGTTACTTTTAAGTATTGAAGCTCATACCTTAAGACCTTTAATCTCTTTAAGAAGGAGCAAGTTGAGGTGGCTAGCTACTGAGTAACTATAAGAAGCAGGTAAATGAGGTGCTGCCCACATCAAAAAAGGGGTAAATTGGTTTTGCTCAGGTTTAGTCTTATTTGTGCATACCTGAGAGCTACTTGTACAAATCTCTGGGCATTTGGTATGAGGGGCCATTGAGCAGAACTGCCAGCAACTGAATGTGGGAGCTGGGAAGTGCCTTGTCAGCTAATGCTGGGTGGCGTGGTACTGGGGCTGGAAGTGTGTGCCAGGCCTGGTGGCTGGTTAGCTCTGTGGTGCCAATCCATATTGCCTGTGCCTGCTTTTGTATTGCTCACAGGTTAAGAAGTGGGATGAGAAAATGGTGGAAAGAAGTCAAAAGTAGTTTTTTTAATCATTAGACCAGTCTACCTTGTATTTTGAAACACAAAGAGAGAAACAATATCAGGAAATATAAATACAGATGCTGTCAATTCTCATCTGATTTTCACTGATCTGAACACAGGGAAGTATTTTAGCTGCCAAATGAAGGTTTGTAAGTAAAGGGACAAAGAGAGAGGAAGAAATAGCACTTTCCCTCAGTGTAAGTCACCCCAGATTGTTCATGGTAGTTGCATCATGTTATTTCTTAAATCTACTTCTTGGGAGAAAAAAGGTCAGGGGTATATTTTCCTTCGGCAACACTTTCTTCTCCTCTCACCCCTGGACGTCACCCCAAGAACAGTGGAGTAGGTGGGCACCTACCTTTGGGTTAGATGGTATCTACCCAGTGCAGAGGAGGAAGGATTTCCCTGAAATAAAGACTTTAAGGTAGGTAATAAGTCTCATGTAGGGGATGCAGCAATTTCAGGAGGACAGAAATTCCTATGCTGGGTCAGTTAGTCTGGACTTGGTGATGAGAAAATCCTGTACTGTGGCACTGGACCAACCATGTATGCATGGTGAGGTTGGTCTGCATGTGCTATAGAAGCCTGGTATTTTTGAAGTGTGGGCATGTTAAGCACATGTTACCCAGCCATCTGCCTGGGGAGTTCTGGCTTTGGGATAGAGATCTTACTGGGAGTTGGCTATTGCCAAATGATTTATTCAGCCTTCTGCTCTATCCAGAGGAAACATTAGGGAAGGGGGTAGATACAGGTAGTCTGTGTGACATACTGTCACAGAAACCATGTTGTTACACATCCTTGCATCCTAAGGATCTCACAACCTTGGAGTTCAACTGCATCCCAAGCTGCCACCTTAAGTAGTTATTCCAGAGTGGGGATAGCCTTGGGCTCCTTTGGTCTGATCCTCTTTGTGTGACTATCCCAGTGCCCTGGGCACACTCTGTGAGTTCCCTGTAGCAGCTGCAGTGCCTCCTGTGCTGGGATTTAGGCATCAGCAGTAGAAATAACAGGCAACTCCTCACTTCCAGCAAGTTGTTTCTGTTAGGCATGTCTGGTACCAGATCTGGGTGCCTTGGCTCAGCAGGCGGATCCCATTCCATCATCATGCAAGGAGTTTTTCTCCATATGCTGTACCACCTCCCTTGGCTCTTCTTACTCTCCTGTCTTTGGGGAGATGGGCCCTAGGATGGGAGTTGTCAATTCTACTTCCACATCAGGAACTCTTTTTCATAAGGGAGTTTAACTACTGTGAGTAGTGGGGGTAGATTTTATTTCATTCTGGGTCAGGTCATTGATTTTGCCTTTTTTCCTCTCTTCTGAGCCTGAACACATTAAAGGTGAGACCAAGACAGTTGCACTAAGCATAAAGCTACACACTGTCATATTTTTCAAACTGTTACTCAGGAATCTGCTCTTGGGCTGTGTATGGCCTGTAATTCAGGGGCTGTTAATTGAGAACTTCAGCTTTGACTAATATGTCTTACTAATAGTTGGAACAGACTTGGAGCCTGTTGGGTCAACTGGTGATAACCTGATTGTCTTTAATTGTGCAGACATACCCTCAGATATTTCAAAGTGAGGGCATCTGGGTGATGGAGAAATGGAAAGGAAGATGGGTAGAAGTGTGTATATACATGTATATATACAGTTAGTTACAGTTTTTCCGTTGACAGAACCTTATCTAGGCACTGAAATACATGAATGTGCATAAGATTTGTCTTTCATATCAGGCCCTTTGCAAAGGAGGATACTTGGAGAAGTTGTAAATAATTGCAATTGTCGGCCTCTCTATCTCTGCTCTCTAAAGCTACAGAAGAGATTTGTACCAGCTTTGTTATTCAAAGCATTTCCCTTAACAGCTGAATCCTGTGGGAGATTCCTCTTAGAGCAGCTTTCCTCTTCGGTGGACTCTCCTGACAAGATCACAGACGGCTTTTGGTCTCCGAGTGTCATGATGAACATCTAGTTGGGTCTATTTTTATATCTGAAATATGTTGAAAGATGCTATGGTGAGAAGAAGCAGTACAGTACTCTATACATGGTAATGCTTTTGGGGGCAGTATGCATTTTCCTTCCAGTTCTTGAAATTTCTTTTATCTGTAAAACTTGAATTAGCATCAAGAAAAGAGTCATGACCATACATTATTTTGATTTTCTCTTTGTGCACCAAGACTGAAGTTCTGTGCCTTATAGTTGCTCTGATATGTCCTTTCCAGCTTCAAAATTTTCCAATATAATACATTCTTTGCAGGAGTTACTGCTACTCTAAACAATTAATTAAGAAAAATAATGGTAAACCTTAAGTTGTTTTCCCTTATTGTCATACTGTTCTTCACCCTTTTATTCTGCCCTGAGTGCTGGTACGGTGTCAAAACAGTGTTTCGAGGCATGAGAAAGAAAATACTTTGGCCTGAGAAGGTAGTTGGAGAAGTGGTTGAAGAGGGGAACTGGTGGCTGAAACCTCAGCTGCTTGACTATCCTTTATGATGGGAATTGAGCAACTGACAGTGTTACCAGATGATACCTGGGTTTAGCATGACTGTTGCTTCCCTGAGATTAGAGACGCCAGGTTTTGTTGTGAACTGTTTTGCCTCTGGTGTGTAATTGGGATCCTGGCTGGCAGGTCAGCTTTGTCAGACCTGCCAACCTTACTGACGTGGCCTCATCACGGGTTGGAGGTGACAGGTACCCGTTCAGCACACAAGTGCTGAAGTATCTCCTGTCATCTCCGCTCGTTGCCACGTTCTCGTAGCTGCAATCAGTTTGCTGCTTCCATATTGAGGCAGGATGGTGATGTGATCTATTAATTTTTCCTCTGTTGTTTTCTTCCACATTTCAGGAAGGGTGCTTGTGGCCTTCAGAAAGCTCGGTTTCGCGCCAGGGTGCTTCAGAGGTACTGACAGATTTCTGACTATCTTCACCAATGTGCTTTCCCTTTTTCCTGTAATGTGTATTTAGTTCCTTTCAAAAACGTGCATCTGTTTTGTAAAGAAAGCTTTTTCAGTGCAGTTCACGTAGTTGTGTGAGCCTGCCTTAACTCCCATTTCATAAATGCCTGAGACCTTTTTATTAAAACAATGAAATTCTGCCTACCTGACACCTCATCTCCATCAGCAGCTACCAGTGTCATAGTAGGTATTCACAAGTAAGTGGTGGAGGTGTGTCTCTTTCATGCAGTGGCTCAGCAATTTGAGATCCATTGGAAGCTGGGAGACTGGTTGCTCTTGTCTCAGAATTTTTCTTGGATTTACAACACATATCCTGTCACCAGTGTCTTCCATCTTCCAGCTAGTTATATCTCTGGTCTGTGTAATAATTTGTGGGTGTATTGCTCTGAGTGGTCCAGCTGTCCTGTGACAAACAGCAGAACTTCCTCATGGTTGGTCCTTTATCTCTGAGGGTCATGTGCTGTGAACCGGCTTGGATCCAAAAAGGAGAAGAGCAGTTTGGTAGATCTGGATCTGAGAACCTAATGTGTCTATGTGGATCTGGGATAGACCGAGTGAAGAGCAGTAACACAGAATTCTTGAACTTTTCCTTTTGTAAAGCCTGATCTTTTCCAGGGTTTAATATAGCAGGGGCATTTTTTGCATTTACAGTGCAGAGGCTTTGTAGGTCCTCCCCAGGGCCTGAGTCCTGGCTGAGAACTGAGGGGGAGGAGGATACCTGATACACTCTGGTAGTGAAGGCGTGAGCTATGCTGGGCCTTTACAAAATGTACTAAAATGACCATCTGAATTCTTTGGTGATGTGTATGTAGGGTATTACATTAACTCGGAGTAGGAGATGGAGGCTCAGACTGCAGCTGAAATTCAGTAGTGGGACATTGTTGTAAAACTAGTCAATTGTCAAGACTAGAGAGAATTTGTTTCCTCTGTTCAGATACAGAATAATTTGCTTTTGCTTTGGATGTTTTAATGTCAGAAGGTGTGTTGGGTCTTGGTCTTCCTTTGTGAAGCTGTTCTCAAGTGTGTTAGCTCCTTCCTGCACCTTCTACCTATTCTCATGCATGCATGTGGGAGCACGTGTGCACAGCATCTGCTGGGTTTAGTCTCTAAGATGGGTGGCAAAGAGAAGCATTCTGCGTTTCATTGGTTCTTTGTAAATGTGGAGCAACCACAGTGCTTTGCTCAGAGGTGGAGTCACGTGTGTCTCTCTTCCTGTTGCAGATCATGTATGCTCCAAGGTCCAGGGACAGGTTTACCACCCCATCTTTTATGCAGCGGGACCGTTTCAGTCGCTTCCAACCCACTTACCCTTATATGCAGCATGAGATTGACCTCCCTCCAACCATCTCCCTCTCTGATGGGGAAGAACCTCCGCCGTACCAAGGCCCATGCACCCTGCAGCTCCGGGACCCAGAACAGCAGATGGAGCTCAACCGGGAATCCGTCAGGGCACCACCCAACCGAACCATTTTTGATAGCGACTTGATAGACATCTCGATGTACAATGGGGGCCCCTGCCCACCAAGCAGCAATTCGGGCATAAGTGCAACCAACTATAGCAGTAATGGAAGGATGGAAGGACCACCCCCGACGTACAGCGAGGTCATGGGGCATTACCCAGGCTCCTCTTTTTTCCATCACCAGCACAGCAACGTGCCTCCTTCCTCGCAGAGGGGGAGCAGACTTCAGTTTCAGCAGAACAATTCAGAGAGCACAATAGTCCCCAGCAAAGGCCAAGACCGGAAACCAGGAAACCTGGTCTAAAGTTACTCGCCCAGGTGCATTTGAACTGAAGACAGGAGATCCAAGCAGAGTGATGGAGGAAGACTCCCATGCTCCGGTGCACAATGTTGTTACGTTTCACGTGGTACAACTTAGTAAAACCAAACGTGCAAACCAGTTCTTTGTTTCTGATTCCTTTCAGGGGAATTGCATGCAAAGCAGATTGAAAGAAATACAAACTTCCATTCAGTTTGTCTATGAGCAGTGTTTCAGGGGAGAGGGGGTATATATTATTTTTTTTTAATAAACTATTTCAATTATTTAATTCTAAAAGTTAACTTAGCACAGAAACGAAGGCTTGTACAGCCTGTTTTATACTCACTGAATGGCGGAAGGAAGAAGGTGGTTTTGCTAGATATATGGGGGAAGAATTGGCCAGTTTGCTTTTTTTTTTTTCTCCCAGGGTGTGGATTTTTTTAATATGAAACAAAATTCCTGTTCTGTGTGCCAAGGTATAAAGTTGAGAACTTAGATGAATGCAAGGAATTAATTTGTGTTGTGATAAATGTGTTTTAAAAGGTTGCACTATCTTAATGTTTTAAAAAAATATATTATGAGGGAACTGTTTTATGTGAAGTTCTTCTATATGTTGTCTTTTCACCTGTGGAATAATGATAGAGCTCCAGAAGTAATCTGGAGGAGTTTCCCCCCCATCCCCGGGTTTGCTAGAAAGTGGGGACAGGACTTAGCCTAACATCTCTTGACTTTTACAAATCAAGAAATACAGGGACAGTTGTCTTTGCAATAATTTGCATTCAAATAACAGTGCATCAGTGAAGTGTCTTGGAAACTTTTGGATGGAAGAAGGCAAATATGAAATCCCAGCATTTTTCATCACTTAAGGTTTAGCTATTTTGCAGTGTAGACTATTTGTTTTGTAAATGGCAAAACAAAAAATCCCAGATGTGTTAACTTGTATTGATTCTAACTAAGTGCTGCCATTCTATTCCTTTTCATAATGCAGTATCGCCAGTACTTAACTGTTTTAGAGATTTTTGTCCTCACTGTAGCCTGAAATGTATTTAGTTACATATCATGACATTATGCAATAAATTGTTTGAAAATGCAGGGTAGGTTTTTTCCCCTGCAATCCTGTTAAAATACGTGAGACTGTTGTGCTTTTCGCTCTCCATTTCATCCTTTTAGATGCTGAAGTTCAGTCCTGGAAATCCATCCTGTTGAAGTGAAGGGGGACTTTGTATCTAAAACTCCCCGTGCTGTTTCTGCAGCAGCACCAGGAGCCTTCATGACAGTGGTGCCGGCTTCTGTGGCATCCCTGGCAGTGACGTGGGAGTGCCAGTTATTCTCACTGCAAACTCGTTTGCTCTGGGCCCTGTTGCAGAAACCCTTCTCCTTGTGTGTCATTTGTCTGATGCCAGCAGGACTGCGCTCGTGGGTAAAGATGACTCACATATTAACCAAGTGTCTGTAAGCCCTGGTTTTGCTATACTGGTCTGAAGAGTAGTTGGAAAATGTTACCTTGCATGTATCGTGGCGTCTGGGGTATTCCTCCACTGGCTGTTCCCATGTGGAAGCACACGCAGTGCCAGAAGGCAGTTGACAAATGGTGATAGTGGCATCACAAGCACATAAAAAAGCACAAATTGCACTTAAAATGCATTTTGGAAATGGATTTAAAGTAAGAATCTTTAGAGTCTTAGCTTGAATAGTTTCTAATACATAGGTGTATGTGTGTCATAGACCTTTCCACTTTAAGATCTTTCACTTTTTTTCTAATTTCCTAAGCCTCATGCTTGGTTTTGGGCAGCAGCTGCTGAGTGCCCCGAGGGCACTGTGGAGGAGTGGAGGAGTACTGTGCCCTGGTCCCATGGCTGGAGGCTGAATTTCTGCAGGACTTCTGTACACTGGGGGCTCTGATAACTGAAGTGCATCTTTGATCTATGCAGAGTTTTAATGCCAAAACAGTGTGTGTGTGTCTGTGTGTGTGTGTGTGTGTGTGTGTTTTATGGGCCTCAGTGTAGATTTGTTTTCTTCATAAGATAATTTGGTTTTATTCTAGTTTAGAAAATGTTTGTGTAACTGAATATGCAGCCCCATTTGTCTCTGTAATTGTTATTTTGGTCTGAGTCATGCTGGTAATGCAGAGTAAAGCTGCCTTTTAATGTATGTATTATTTGAAGGGAGAGATAGAGATCATGTGATGGGATTCACTTATTTGTTTTCCACCCAGGCCCATAGGACAGGTGTTTAGAAGATGATTAGGTGACGGTCAGTCAGCTAGGGCTTTCATCATGTCTGGTTCCTGGGAATAAAAGCTGTGAAATTAGATTTTTATGAACAACCTATGAACATAATTCTTAGTTAAAAACAGACAAACCAAACAAAAAAAAAACCTGAACAGAAGACAAAACCAGCAAATGTTGGTTTTGGTCTTCAGTGACTTTGTCACTTCATAAGCGAGCCTTTAAGCCAGAGAATGTGTGTGCCTACACAGATACTGTGCTGTTGCCTAAATGAGGATTATTTAGCCAAGAAACCTTCAGGTGAAAACAGCTGGAACTCAGTTGTCATGGCAGAGCACACCTGGACGGGGCCCTGGGCTTGGGCTGGTTGAGTACCAACTTTTCCCCATGTGCAAATCTCAGCAAAGTGAGCCTTGAAGTTGCCTTCAAAGTCACCTCTTGGAAACGTACTTTCTTTGAAGAAAGCCCTTTACCCTCTTTTGCCATCTCTGCATGCCAGTGGTTTTATGCACTTCCCATTAACATTGTCCAGTATGTTGTCTATTAATTTTTCTTGGCTGAGAAAATTTTTCTTTGCATGAAAAATGTAACCTGTTCCAGTTTCCTGTAGAAAAGATTAGTTTAAAAATAACTTAGTATTTGCTCACCTGATAGTTGCATTTCCTTTTGCATCTTCTCATTCTCATTGTAAAATCATAGAATATGCTGGGTTGGAAGGACACCCATCAGGATCATAGAGTCCAACTCCTGGCCCTGCACAGGGCACCCCAAGAATCCCACCATGTGCCTGAGAGCGTGTCTAAACACTTCTTGAACTCAGTCAGGCTTGTTGCTGTGACCACTGCCCTGGGGAGCCCTTTCCAGTGCCCAACCACCCTCTGGGTGAAAAACTTTTCCTTGATATTCAACCTAAACCTCCCCTGACTCAGTTTCATGCCATTTCATCAGGTCCTATCACTGGTCACGAGAGTGAAGAGTGCCTGCCCCTCTGCATCCCCTCATGAGGATGCTGAAGACTGCAATGAGATCTCCCCTCAGTCTCCTCCAGGCTGAACAGCCGCTCCTCATATGGCTTCCCCTCAAGACCCTTCACCATCTTTGTGGCCCTCCTTTGAATACTCTCTAATAGCTTAATGTCATATTCTGCTTTTCTGGATGTAATGTACAGACACTATACCTCTCAGCTCTGGAAGTGTAGTCACTTGTTGACTTGCTATAGGTGAGCTTGCAACCTGCTACTTCTGTTTTGGGGTCTCTTGTATTATAGGAGTAAATATGCTGTTTTCTGATGAATATTAGTGCTCTCCAGTAGGAGGACTGTCAATAATGTAACACTGAATCAGTCTGTTTTTCTATCACTTCTTCTGTTGCAGTGGGAGAGAATCTGCCCTTGATAACAGAACAGAATGGTAAAAGAAATAGAATTAGATAGCACCACTGATCTTTACAGACTTAGAAACTGGAGAGCTCTGAAGATAGGTAATTCTATGAAGCATTTATGGAAGATGACCTTTGAAAATATCCAGAATTAATTGATGGTATTCCAGAGCCACTCAAATGAAACTTTGTATAAATTATAAAGATTTCTGCAAACATTGTAGTATTAATTGTGTAGATTTTACCTCCATACAGATGTTTTGGTTTATGTGTCTCATGCACAAAACTTACGTAATATGTGTGTGGAGTTTTCTGTGTGATGGATCATATTTGCCTGAGTTCTGGTTGCACCTTCTGACTTTTGCCTAGTAAATCGTGTTCCCAAAATTCAGTAGAAATTTTCAGGTTAAAAGATTATTTTTTCTTTTAAATGTGCTCTTATGAAATAAAGCGTTGTGACCTCTATCCTACTGTAAAGGTTAATTTTTCTCTTATGTGGCTTGGTATGGCTCCCTTCTTGGTGCTAAATATGCCCCATCTTTGGTGTTTTCATACGATTTCAGGGCTAGAAAAGGCAGGAGGTTTAGCAACAGAACAAAAAGGTTTCTCTCCCAGTTTACCAATGGAGCACTCAGCACTTAGCTCTAATTCTGTATATACGTTTAGCACAGTTATGGTTGGGTTTGTCTCAGTGCTGTACAAGCAGACTATGTATGTGATGCTGCTTAAAAGGTGTGAGTGAGGGTTGTGAAAAGTGGTACCCAGCCAACAGTGCAGTGTTCAGATCCCTTTCCTGTAGTGTGTGGCACGTGCAGAATTCATGGTACTTTGCATAGCAGGATGTTTTTGTCAGGGAGGACCTACTTAAGTTACTCCTGGTCTTGTCACTGATGAACTCTGCACTGGTCTCAGTCTGATGGGACTTTATTACAGTATGATTTTTCCTTTTAAGTATGAAAAGTCAAACACATGCCTCATGTACAAGTTTTTGATGGCTACTGAGGAAGATATTTGCATTCCTGCAGTCATGGAATCTGCAGGAACCATGGGGTCAAGCTGTGTTTTATTTGGTTCTCTGTTATTGCTTGCCCACTTCTCCCACCAGTTTGTCCCAGTTGGAAGCTGCTTCTCTTATGCCAAATCTCTGAATGTTCATATTGCAGACCTGACATTTTTTAGAAACTGTCAGTGAAATTTTGTTTTTTCTTCTGTGAATGTGGTGCAGGGAGGGGTAAGGGGCGAAATTGTTTATCAAAGAACGCACTTTCTTTGCAATAGGGAAGAAAGCCTTGTCCTGCTGGAGAGTCCCACGTGTAGGTGTCTGAAACGGTGCTGTCTGAGGCAGTTGTTTCTAACTCTGCCAGGTAGTGAGATATTGGACCTTAAAACTGACACTGATCTGTAAGACATGTTTGAATGGTTTGGAGAAGATTGATTGCTAACCTTTTTCTTACTCTCGAGTCCTGAATGTTCATGTAACTGAGGTAACCTGATTTTGTATGCAAAGAAGAAAGCGTGCTGTTAAAAATAGATATGCTCCAAAATTTTTCTTTGCTTCCCCCCCCCTCACTTTCCCCAAGGATAAACAATAGGCTTGCTGGCACATTTGAAAGTATTTAAAGTATTTGGAATTATTCACAAGTTCTCTCTGGTTTTTATCATTAAATTGTGTCCATGCATATGTGTGTGTATACATACATATCTGCATGCAAACTTGTCCCCTTGATGATCTCTGTACTAGTTGCTATTCCATAATCACCTTCCAGAAGTGCTTAATGGCTAGATATTGTGCTCTCAGGAATGACCACAGGTCATTTATCTAACTGCTGGAAGCATGAAGAATATCTGCTTTTCAGTCCTATAAATGCCATGATCTATGTTTTCATCAGTAGCAGAGTTTCTTGCTGCACCAGTTCTTGCCTGTCACCTGGTGCACTAGTGCATCTTCCATCCAACAGCTGTTTTGCTTTTGGGTGAACTTCAAAAAGTCCTCGTGCTTTGCGATAACACTAATGTAGACATCATGTATTGATGTACAGGAAGGAAATGTACTTAATGTAGTCTAAATCTCAGAAGCATGAATTTTCAAACCTAGCTGATGCTGAGAACTAAGTGATCCTTCTGTACAGTGGGTTCAGATGAAGGCTGTCTTTTGATTACATGTTTGTTTTTTAGATAAAGGCTGTTGCACATAGTTTAATTGCACATATCTGGTCTTTTCCTGCACTGTGTGGCCTGCTTGCCAACCAGTGCAATTACAACTTTTCTCCTAAACTAGCCCCAAATGTATCAATCATTTCAACCCCTGGAAAAACCGACTCTTACTGAGTTCTCCGAGACCTGTTGAGACCTTTTAGAGCATGGAGAAGTCACTTGTGAGGATGTGTTGAACTTAGAGAGTTTTCCTGTCTGAAGACTGTTCCGCATGTTTTGTTAGGAAATTCAAGTTTTGAGACTGTGCCGACTGAAAATATTGGTTGGTAAGATTTATTTTTTTTATACTTAATATATTGTTTGCCA